CAACAGACACATGAAAAGATGCTCAGTATCACTTGGCATCAGGGAAATGCAAATCAAAACTACAATGAGATATCACCTCACAACTGTCAGAATGGCTAAAATCAATAACACAAGAAACAGTAAGTGTTGACAAGGATATGGAGAAAAAGGAACCTTTGTGCACTGTTAGTGGGAATGCAAACTGGTGCAGCCACTGTGGAAAACAGTGTGGAGGCCCCTCAAAATTTTAAAATAGAACTACCTTATGATGTAGCAATCGCATTACTAGGTATTTACCCAAAAAATACAAAAATGTTAATGATGTAATGTATAGTGATTAACATAACAATAAAAATTTAAAGAAATACAAAAATGCTAACATTTTTGCAATAAACATGGGGGATATGTACACACCCATGTTTATTGCAGCATTATTTACAACATCCAAATTATGGAAGCAGCCCAAGTGTCCACTGACTGATGAATGGATAAAAAAGATGTGGCATATATATAAATGGAATGTTACTCAACCATAAAAAAGAATGAGATATTGCCATTTGCAAAAACAGACACCGCTCACTGTCCTTTTCTACTTCTCAAACAGATTTTCCCACCATAGTTCATGAAACTATGTGTACTATATTAGTCTGCTAGGGCCGCCATAACAGAATACCACAGAATGGGTAGTTAGCAACAGAAATGTATTTTCTCACAGTTTTGGAACCTGGAAGTCCAAGATCAAGATGCCTGATGGTTTGGTTTCTCCTGAGGCCTCTCTTGGCTTGTAGATGGCAGCCGTCTTCTTCTTGTATCCTCACATGGCCTTTTCTCTGTGCATGAGCGTCTCTGGTACTTCTTCTTCTTCTAAGTAGTCTCTGCAGTGGTCAGTGGAGACCTGCTCACATGCAGGAGAGAAGTCTCTTTGGCAGGTCAAGGCACTAGTGAAGAAGATGAAGTAGTGGGTCTGTCTATAGTGGCTACCTATATGGCTCAGGAGGAACGAAGGCTAAAGGAAAAATCCTGGTGTTGACAGGGTTCTCACTTCTCTACTAGCCTGTTACTAGACACAACACTGAAACTTAAGTGCGTAGGATTGAGTTAATCATGCTTCTCGGTTCACTCTTCACTACCCTTATTATTTGTAGCTCTTGGTTTTTTATTTTTTCTCACATCGTTTATTCCTATTGCTACTTTCATTCTCTCCTCCTCAATAGTATCTCTAATGCATTTAACATGGTTCCTTAGACAGGTATATACTTCTGAAAGACATATACTGTTTTGTGTATGTTTTAAATGGGAGCCTGTAGGGCGCTTGGGTGGCTCAGTTGGTTAAGCTCAGGTCATGATCCTGGAGTCCCGGGATCGAGTCCCACATCGGGCTCCCTGCTCAGTGGGGAGTCTGCTTCTCCCTCTGGCCCTCTTCCCTCTCGTGCTCTCTATCTCTCATTCTCTCTCTCTCAAATAAATAAATAAAATCTTTAAAATAAATAAATAAATGGGATCCTGTAAACACTGCTTTTGTTAGTCAACAAAAGGACATGGTGTTGAGAAACTTCATTCTCTAAAATCAAAGACTGTCAGAACATTTAGTGTTTGAAATCTTATCAATAAGACTGAAACATTAGACTTTTCCCTGAAGGATCTCAGTAATTCCAATGCAGAGAAGCAGCCAGGTAAGTAACTTAGGTAAAAGTTTTCTGGAAACAACAGTCTGTTTTTATTTTAACTGAGTAGTTTTCAAGGAAACGTGACCCCTAGTATGCTTGTTGGCCCAGGCCTGATGTTAACCCCTTTACATACAGTTTTGCATTTCTTCTTGAATTTTCTCTTATGGAACTGCTTGAGAATTTTCTGGGATACATTTTCTGAAGTAGTACTGCTGAGTTCCAAGGTATACTGCCAGAATTTTGCTAAGTACTACCAGAATAGTAGCTCCAATTTATAAAGTTGCCAGCACTTGGTATTATTATCTGCTTTCAAATATTATCCAATTTGATGGGTATAAAGTGATATTCCATTTTTGCTCTGATTTATATTTCTTTGAGCATAAGTGAAGTCAAGAATATTGTCTGTGTCGATTGCATATTTATTTTACTTCCATGATTTGCCTATCAACATTCTCTCTCCCTTTAAAAAACTGGGCTTTTCCGTCTTTATACAAATAAAGCATAAGAGCTAGTCTTTACCTTGTTATGATTTAAGCAGAAATAATTTATAGTTAAGCAGAAATTAGAGAACAATGGAGTGCTATATACTATGTGGTACTTCCTGAGAACGTGAAAGTGTACAAGATAATCCCTTGAGACTAGAACCATCATGGGTTGTTTTTAGAGGCAATTGGGAGACATTTGGAAGTATAGGGAAGAGGAAAGTGATGGAGGAGAGACAACATTCCATACTGTGGCAGGCAGCATGGACAAATGCCAGAGGAAGAAAGGTAGGTGGTAGTCCAGAAAAAGCAGGAAGACCAGAGTCAGTGGAGGTATGTTTGGGGTAGTGGTAATTAAATTTGGATAAATAAGACTTAATTGGTAGGAGAGTCTAGTAGGTTCCCGAGTAGAGAAGTAACATGGCCAAAAGGGGTTGCTATTATTTGAATGTGGTGTTCCCCTCCCTCCACCAAAGGACATATTGAAATTCTAACCCCAAAGATGAAAGCATTAGGAGGTGCGGTCTCTGGCAGATGCTCTGCCCTCATGAATGGGGTTAGTGCCTTTGTAAAAGAGGACCCAGAGGCATCCCTTGCCCTTTCCACCATGTGAGAACAGGGTGAGAAGGAGTCTGCTATGAACCAGTAGGAGGGCCCTAACTTTACCATGCTGGGCTATGATCCTGGACTTCCCAGCCTCCGAAACTGTGAGAAACAAATTTCTGTTGTTTATAAGCTACCCAGGCTGTGGTATTTTGTAGTAACAGCCTGAATGGACTGACAGCAGTATTTTAGAAAGATCTGACTTTTCTCTTGACAAAAGGATTGTGAAAGTAGGTCAGTGATTAGCAGAGATTGTAAGTAAAAAGTGATTATTTGAACTGAATGGAAAGTAGGTACTGAGGTGTAGCATTGGAACTGAAAAATAAAGGATAATTAGAAATATTTAAGAACTAAAAAGGATTTGGTGATACTAAATAAGCAATGGAAGGGCATTCTGATTACTGGGAAAATGAAGATGATATTTTCTAAAATAGGAATAGTTTGGGAAGGAAAATAAGCAACAGAGGAAGAACATAAATTACAAAGGTGTTATATTTTAATTTCTTTATAGGATGTAGGGGAAGAACATATTATTCACATATTCAGGATTTTTTTCTGTTACTTTTCCCCTATTTCTATATTTTCTTTCTTTTTAAATCATTCTTTCTACACACAAACTCCCATTAATCAGCAAGCACCATTTAACAATTTCTCTACAGTCCCTCAACTCCTGAAAAACACCAACTAACCTTTGTAAAACTTGCCATGTTTTTATGATACTCCAACACTATATTCAAAAATGGTGACTCAACCAGATGATACATTTTATTATAGTGATCGATTCATACATGGTTTGCTGAATGCATCTATGTTGTAGGCTTTTTGGCTAATACGATTTGTTAAAACCCTCTCAGCAAAGTGCTGTTACAATGACCATCTTCTGGGACTTGGGAATAGCCTTATTATACAGAACTTAATGTTACACACTAATAGCATTTATTAGAATGGAATTCTGTATGTATTATTCCAACATCAGCTTGGCTTTTTTAGTCTCCTCACAGCATGAGACTTTAGTAATTATGCTAATGTTAGCTGATTCATGAGGACAACTTCCTAAAGTGCACTTAATTAACTTGGAGATTTTGTAAACAGCTGTACATGTAGGTTCTGCAAATTGTAGGGATATGTCAATCTGACATGTGTATAGTCTGCATTCCTAACCTCATCACTTTTACTAAAGCTGAAAACAATAAGAAGCTCAGGTCTGGCACCGCTTGAAGCAAATGCTCGAGCAAGACTCTGGGAAATGTCACTGTAGCCTATCTGAAGATGGGGACCTTCGGATTCCTCCAGTCTGCGTCTGTGGAGCCAGCTGAGTTAGGTAGATTGTTGCCTTTCAAGTTGGTATGAGGGAAAATGCTAGTTTGTTTCTTTAGCAAAGGGAATGGTTTTTTTTTAGAAAAGATTTTATTTGTTTATTTGACAGAGAGAGAGACAGCGAGAGAGGGGACACAAGCAGGCGGAGCGGGAGAGGGAGAAGCAGGCTTCCCACTGAGCAGGGAGCCCAACGCGGGGCCCGATCCCAGGACCCTGGGATCATGACCTGAGCTGAAGGCAGACGCTTAATGACTGAGCCACCCAGTCGCCCCAAAGGGAATGATTTTTCCAACATGTTGCTACAATATGTTTTTCTCCCTGGGTTTGTTGGTACCATTGGCCAATATTGCTCTTTAGGGGACTTTTCTGCAAGTCATATTTCACATCCATAAACTCCATTAGCTCTGCTTCCCTTCAGTTCCGGTGGCTGGGTTGATTTGATAGTTGAGTGACTCATCACCCTTGTTTGAATGGAAATCACCTGATATTTTACTTTCGACATTTTATTAAAATCTCATAATCCCCTACAAGTGAGAAGTAATATTCATATACATAGGACATTTAACCAAGACTAACAGTGCCGTGCAAGACTTTAACACACACACACAAATTGAAAAGGTAAGTTAATCACTTCAGGGCCAGGACCAAACTAATCAAAATAGAAGAAAGAAAGATCAAGAGAGAATGGAAGAAAAAGCCCTACTATATAAATTAGGAGAAATACCAATCACACAAAACTAATGACAACAGAGAACAGGGATGGTTTTGAAGTAATCTTCTTACTACTGGGTAAGATCACACTCTCAGATAAGTCCTAGAAACTAAGCTAGGGATTTGTTTATGGTTTCTCAAGGGTCCTGGCAAGGTCTTTTCCCCTCATTAATTTAAGCCACAATCCTGGGTACAATCTCTTTGGGAATTAGCTAGATTACATCTAAAGATAATCAGACATTTATTGCATAGCCTTTTCTTTGACTTCAATCGTCAGAACCTCTTCCCCAGCCTCTGCAGAAAGAGCCATGCTGATGATGAGGGATTGGCAAGTAGTTCCTGTGGGTAAAGCTGCCCTTCTAATTGACTGGGGCATTTCTTCTGCTGTAATAGAATTTGCTCTACATTCAGAGCTGTCCTGTGTTTTCTCTGATGGCTCTCTTCCTTTATTTTCATGTTCTCTTCCTTTACCCTCTCCTTCTTCGGAATTTTCACTTGCTTTCTGGAAGAAGCAGTTACAAAGAATTGGTTTTGAGATCATAATAAAGGACACTGGAGTCTTTTGATTAATATACAATGGCTAAGGATCACTACCAAGACAAAGACTGTCTGAATGAAGTTAATGTGGCAATCATGTCTGCCTTGCATTTGACCATCATTTGACAGCTTTCTGATGTGCTGAAGAATGAAGCTGAGCTGTCACATTTGACTTAACAGAGTAATTCTGGATTGCATTTTTGTCCCTGACAAGGAATTTTCTTCCCATTGGTCCTCACGCTCTCTGAATTATTAGACGTAGTGCTCAGGATTCCTTGCTTTTGCTTTAAAAATATGTACTTATTTATTTTAGGAAGATGAAATTTTAAATATTTATTTTCTAATAAAAATTGTTAACCAAATGCCATAAAAATACTACAGAAAGTATGGTTTTCCTGCTGCATAAGCTCATGGGAGAACCTCAGGGAGAAACTCATCTCTCTTTCCTCTTACAGTCTCTTCCACTTGTCTCATGGGTGCTTGAGCTATATGGTTTTAGAAACTATTATGCTTAGTATCATCTGTAGATATTTCATAGCAAAAAACATACTATGCTCTTCACTGATGATGCTTCAGGTCAGTTTAAGAGAGGTTTGTACAAGGTATGAATGTGCACATGTAAAATTGAGAAACTTATTTAATACAATGACCCATATTTCTTTACCCCATTAATCTTTTACATAAATTATTACTTCTATGCTGATTAAATGAGGCATTTGGTTTATACTGTATTGCTAATTTTCACCACAGTATTTCTGTGTGGAAAGGAAGAGGCAAGTTTTAGTCTCTTGAGTGTGACTGATTTATAATATTTGCTTAACGATCTTCTGAAAGATCCACAGCCACCCATTTCTTACAGTTTTAGAGATAACATGACTAGATTCAGAAAACCTGAATCCCTGTTCTGTTTTTGATATCTGTCCTCATAGGCTTATTACAAGAATCAAAGAAATACGAAAATCAAGAGAGAAAAATAATAACATTTGAGTATCTTGAAATTTCTAGGAATTGAGAGGCAGCTCAGTGTAGGCCTAGAAGTCTGAGTACCTAGGTAATAGTTTTTGCTCTGTCACTTTTTGTGATCTTATCCAAATAAGTTGATCTGGAGCTCAGTTTCTTCGTCTATAACAAGAAGTTATTTTTGGCTACTAACATTTGTGATATATAAGTGACAGAATATTTGTGAAAATATTTATTGGCTCATTGGTAAAATGTGTTATATATTTATAAGTATGTATGTGTGCTTATACATATGCAATTGATTCTCATTTTTCTTGGTAGTTTTGTTCTATAAAGCTGCCACAAACACAGAATTAGCAAATACTGAACCATTGCTCCTAGGGATAATGCAGAATTTGGTTCCTATGAGCCTCTGGCCAAATTTTTGTCAACAAATCAATATATAACCTTGTTTTATGTGTATTTCTGTTTAGAGACATTTATTTAATATATTCCGTTGATCCATTATATTGAACTCATGGCCCATAGCACTGTAACTCATGCTTGAATGAAGCTTATCTAACACATGTCTTTTCTCTGTAAGGGACATCAGAGCATTTTTGTGCTTAGGAACACTAGACAACACTTCAGCTCTATGCAGTACAAATATGAGAAAAACATTGCACTTAAATAGACCATGAAAAGGTCATTTTTTTACAGTGTGAGAACTGAAATAAGAAGGTAGAGTGTCTTCTTATTCATCTTCAGCTGGGAGCATGTGCATTGGGCAACTTAAACTTTTCACTGCTTTGAACATAAGTATGTTTGCAAATGACTACATTGAGTACTGACTTCGGGTTTACAAAGAAATTTCTGTAAGTAGGTAGCTATGCAAATATACAGAATGTACAAATAATGAGAGTTGAATATATTTGTGTATACATATGTATTAAAAACATCTATAATAAACAACAGAGATTAAATGTAATGATATTTGAGGATACAGTTTAGATAATAATAATTTGCTATAAATAAAGTAGTAAATAGTCACATTAGATACATCCAAACTATCCCAGTGTCTGAAAAGAATTAAAGTAGAAGCTTGTCTGGGTAAACTTAGTCCAGTGGTCTGTTACAGCCCTCTGTCCACTCTGTCTTATTACCTGAATGGTTTGTTCTCTCTTCAATTTGAGTAGTCTTGTAAGTCCTGCTTTTCCTGTGCCTCCCAGGAAAGCTTTAAACATTTTAGGTATCTCTTGTTTTGGTGGAAGGAGAAAGGCAAGTCCTTTTCTTGGAGAGGTTGCCTCTGTGGCTGGAGCCTTCTTTAGAAGCACACTGTGGATAGAAGAAAAGGCTACTTTATTTTTTAATTTTTTTAAAGATTTGATTTATTTATTTGAGAGAGAGAGAATGAGAGATAGAGAGCACAGGAGGGAAGAGGGTCAGAGGGAGAAGCAGACTCCCTGCTGAGCAGGGAGCCCGATGTGGGACTCGATCCCGGGACTCCAGGATCATGACCTGAGCCAAAGGCAGTTGCTTAACCAACTGAGCCACCCAGGCGCCCGAGAAAGGCTACTTTAGATAGTACTATAAGAATTCTGGAAAAACCTACCAGACACTAAGATTTCTCCTAATCTGTGAAGTTTTCAATGGATTGTTGCACAAACAGTTGTTCGTTAAATGCACCTCATGGAGAAAGTTTATCACTGCTCAATCTCTAATGGGGTTTTAAAGGTCATACCTGGCTTTCTTCTTGAGGAGCTTTTCAGAATCTGGATAATGCACTAGAATTTGTTGGAAGGTCTTTTTATCCAGAGTTAAAAGATTGGCAAACCCATGGGCTACCACATTGGCAGTTCGACGATTTCCTCCTCTTGCTGCTAGAAGGCTAAAAGAGGAGAAAAGTGAATCTTTACCACCAGTTTCACTCTTCTACCAAGATTTTTTAAAAATAGGTATCAAATATTTTAACCATTTATACTCCTTTGGAAAGGTGAAGGTGAGAGTTCAGATGATTGTATGGAGGAAGTTAGATGTGGTGATGGAAGTGGTAATAGGTTTCAACATGTTTTGTATTAAATTCCCATCTCACATGAAGGACTTGTAGCCATCAGTGCCCCATGAGAATCTCCATTCCAGATTCCAGAAGCTCATAGTCTCTTTGGACAGGGTATCCTCTATTTGCTCCTCCAGATTCACTTTTCATCTTCCCCATCCTCTTTGCTCCCCAGAAAACTGACCTCCATAGGCTTGTCCTCTGACTTTCATTTGAGTGTAGCTAATGGGAACTATCACTAAGAAACTGGAAAGCAGGAGGAGTGTGGTGTTGGAACATTTATTCCTCTGTTCACTCTTTGCTAGGCCTTAGGTTAGCAGTAGCCACAGTTCTTTACTAAAATTCACAGCTTCACAGGTGGTCATCTTCTAGAAGTATGACTCCCACAGCTCTTTCTTGGTTCTGGTAATGTGCCCTCTCCTTTAGGCCTAGCTGTAGAAAACTCCCTTGCTATTGCTAGCTTCAGGATGCATTACCATCCCTTGTTGGATACACTTAGATTTTTCTTGCAATTTCCTTCTATTGACTTCTGTCAATAATTCATTTATTAAATTACCTTGTTTGAGTGTACCTTCTGTTTTCTGCCTGGGCCCTGTCTGATACAGCCCTGACATCAAATCTTAATGATGTCCTGGTTATATCTGGTGAATCGAATCTCTTCTCCTACTTAACTCCCAAATCATCTCATTTCTCAATATTGTAAACTGCTCTGTAGTATAGTCATTCACATACAACTTCCCACTTCAAATGTCAGTGAATTCTGGGCTTTATATCTCTTAGAGATATAGCTAGGCATTTGTATTTGGGAAGTGACCAATAAGTAGTTGGTGAATAAATGAACATACAAATGAATTTAAAAAATGGTTAAAAATTATATCATTCACCAATAATCTGGAAAATAAGGGTTGGTATATAAAACCAAGACAAGAAAAAACAAATTTAAATGTTTAAAAAAAAAAACACTACAAGCTCTGCATTGCCAAGGTAACACAATGTATTTAATCTCTTGGAGTCAACCAGTTAGGAGAAAATAGTTGTGTTTTTTTCCTTCGTGTGTGTGTATGTGTATGTGTGTGTGAAAGAGAAGGCTCACATTAATAAAAACACAATCTCTAGGGATAGAAAGAACAGAGAAAGCAAGTTGGCAATAGGAATGTTCATACTTTCACAGCCCTGCCTTTGGGGGGCAATGATGTGTGAGAAGTTGCATGGGTCCTATGCCTAAAGATTTGTATTAGACAATATGAGCTTCTCTGACTGTTGCAGAAAAACGAACATTATGACTGGCTGTTAATTGATAAGAAACTAACTCAGGGTTTCAGCTCTCACATGTAAAGAGCTTAAAAGTTGTCACTTTTGTTCTTGTTATAAAAAAAAAAAACCTGGAACAAACTGGAAACCAATAACTTTTCTTGGATCTGTCAGAGAATTGAGGACACGGTAAACTCCCACCCAAATGTGGAGAGATAGGTGAATCCAGAAAGCCACAGCCAGACCTACTTACCTGAAACAGAAGGCCTGGAGCTATAACTGGTTCAAACATTTAAATGGTAATTTTGACAAACTATTAGGGTGACAGTGGATTGTCAAGAAACTCTCAGGGGTCACAATTATGGGGAAACTGATACCTGTATGGGTTTATCCTTGAGAAACCCACCATGTTCTCAAGATTAACAGCCAATAAAGATCTGCTTGTGGCTCTGGCAGTGGAAGGGAATGATTAATTATCATAAAATACACCCAGAGCTTATTTGTTCTCCATAACAAAGGGCTGCTATCTAGGCAAAAAGACTATCAGAACCCCATACCACCTGAAGGAAAAGTGTTTCTCCCATCCCAGACCCCTTTAGCCTTCCTGTCTTACTTAAGGGGGATGGGAAGCCAAGAAACACTTGTAAAGGTCACATCCCAGGCACAGATCCACTAAAAGACTGAGATTTAATTATAAGATTATAGATCTCCCTCATATCTTATCATTGTATCAATGGGGCTCTTGTGTAATAACAGTGGATTATAACTGCAGGATGCAGACTTTCTCTGAGGAAGTGTACTTAGGGAAGGCCAAAGTCAAAAGGGGAGATAGAAACAGGGGCATTTTAAAGAAATTTGGAAGTTCTGGCACCTAGAGCTACAGCAAACATTAAACACAGTCCCAACTCCTAGCCAGATTAACATAAAACCTCACGCTAAAGACCTATCTGCCTCAGTTCCTATTAGCAATTACATCAAGTACAACTTCCAACAAAAAATTATAAAGCACACTAAAATAAACAAGAAAAACATAGCCTTGTGAGACAAAGAAAGCACTAGAACCAGACTGAGATATGACACAGATATTGAAATGCTCAGAGAATTTAAAATGACTATGATTAATATGTTAAAGGATCTAATGGAAAAAGTAGACATCATATAAGAATATTTGGATGGGAAATGAAAGGAGAGAGAAAGAAATTCTAAGACAATTCAAAAGGAAAGATTAGAAATCAAAAACACTGTAACAGATGAAGAATAACTTTGCTGGGCTCATCAGTGGACTGCAACATGGCCAAGAAGATAGATGAGCTTGAAGATAGGTCAGGAGAAAGTTCCCAAACTAAAATGCAAAGAGAAAAAAAGAATGAAAAAAACCTCAACAACCTGCTCCCAAACATCAAAAACTGTAGGACAATTTCTCAAAAAGTATAAATAGACATGTATCTACTGTGTGTACATATACAGAAAATATATACATAGCATACAACATTCTTTAATATTATAAAAAATACTTGAAGTAATCATGGCCAAGGAATTTCCAAAATTAATGACAGACACTAAACCACAGATCCAGGAAGCTCCGAGACTACCACACACAATAAATACCTACCCCTGACAGTTGTGTTTTATTCCTTTTTTTTGAAATCCAAGTGCCTGACCTAAGCTTGATTGCCATTTCAAAGAGGCATCCACTTCAAAGATGCCGACCTTAATTAAACACATTGCTAGCCACCCAATTATATAAAGAGCCAGGCTGCCTTACCCCACTGAGGCTCCTTTGTTTTAGAGATCTTGATTGATAACTGACCATTGGGCTAGCTTGTTTTTTTCACTTCTCATACTTTAAATTCCTGCTCTTATGTTTTAAATTCACCAATAAAGAGTGAGCCCACAAAATCCTAGGCCCCCATTCTCAACCCCAATAAAAACAGAACCCCAGGCCTGTGCACTCTTTCTCTGTGACCTCGCTGTGTGGCCCCAGGTGGGCTGTGTGATTTTTGAGGTCTTGTAAGTAATAAATCTATATATTTTTAAGGTTTCCTGATGATTGTTGCTGAAGGGCATCTTATAATTTTTTTTTTAAGATTTTATTTATTCGACAGAGAGAGAAAGTGAGAGTACAAGCAGGGGGAGTGGCAGAGGGAGAGGGAAAGCAGGCTCCTTGCTGAGTAGGGAGCCTGTAGTGGGGCTTGATCCCAGAACCCTAAGATCATGACCTGAGCTGAAGGCAGACACTTAACCAACTGAACCACCCAGGTGCCCCAGTATCTTACAGTCTTTATAAAAACCAAAAGGGCCAGTCCAACCACAACATTGGTAGGTTTAGATTGGCACAAAACACCCATAAGAGGAACAAGGATAATAATCAGCAGACTTGTCATGAGAAGCCATGCAAGTAAGAAGAGAGGGGAGTGAAATATAGTGTTGACGTTCCTAACAGATTAGATCATAATTGTTCTCACCACAAAGAAGAAATTATAATTATGTGACATGATAGAGCTTAGCTAATGCAGTGGTGGTAATCATATTGCAATATATATGAATTTATAAAACCAATATGTTGTACACCTAAAACTTACACAATATTATATGCCAATTATGTATTTCAATAAAAATAGTAAAAAAAACAAGAAAGAAAATCAGCAAGCTAGAATTCTATGTACAGTGAAATTACCCTTCCAAGGTGAAAAAGGACAGAGATTTTCTTAGAAAAATAAAAGCAGAGGGAATTCAACATTTGTTCACCTACCCTGCAAAAATGTTGAAAGAAGTTCCGCAGGAAGAAAGAAAATAATGTAGGTTAGAAATTCAGGTCTACATAAAAAGGGGAAGGACATTGGAGAAGCAATAAATAGAGGTAAAATAAAACTAAAATCTTTGTTTTTCTTTTTTTTAAAGATTTTATTTATTTATTTAAGAGAGAGAGAATGAGAGACAGAACACAAGAGGGAAGAGGGTCAGAGGGAGAAGCAGACTCCCCGCTGAGCAGGGAGCCCGATATGGGACTCGATCCCGGGACTCCAGGATCATGACCTGAGCCGAAGGCAGTCGCTTAACCAACTGAGCCACCCTGGTGCCCAAAATCTTTGTTTTTCTTATTCTTAATTGATCTAAAAAATAACTTTAAATAATAAAGTAGTAATGCTTTGGGTGATTATAGCAAATGGATAAATGAAATAAATGACATCAATGTCTTAAAGGGCTGCTACAGAAGAATTGGGAATATTGTGTAAGGCTCTTGCTCTGTAGGTAGTGTTTTGTGGAGGTAGACTTAGATTAGTTGAAAATGTATATCCCAAACTCTAGGGCTACCACTAAAATGTCTTTAAAAGAAGTATAATTGACATACTAAGAGAGGAGAGTTGAATGCTCAGTTGAAACCAGATAAGGCAGAAAAAAAGAGGAAAAAATCCTAATGTTAGGCCACCTTAAGGAATCAAACAGGGCCTCTTACCAGCACTTCTTATTAAACTTAGGTCCAGGACTATCCAGGCCACTTAAAAATGAAATTTCTCCCTCAAGACAGAAAGTAGATATTTGGAATCCATAAATGTTGACCATGTTAATGTCTACTTATT